ATCTCTAAGGGAGCGCTCTGCCACCCTGCGGAGAAAGCTCATTTCAGCCGCTTGTATCCGGGATCTCGTTCTTTTGGTCATGACCCAGAGCTCATGACCATAGGTGATAGGTGATAGGTGATAGATGTTGAACAATCTTTTCTTTTATGCATGTCATTTGAGAGCTGTTTTGAGGCCCCCATGCTGCCACTCTTCACAGGAGAATCAAAGAGAAACAAACATGCAATTGGCCACCTTAAATACCTTTTCTCATGATTGGATGCACCTGTCTATGAGGTTCAAGGCTTGATGAGCTCACCAAGCCAATTCTTCCATTTAACCAGTGCTAAGAAGTTACAGGTATTCAAATCAACAAAATGCCCAAATCTTGCACCTGTGCAATTTTGTTTTGCCTCATATTGCACATCTTCTGTTAGTCCAATTAACCTAGTTTCACTTCTGAAATATTACTGTGTCCATCAGTTTTTTGATAAACCAGAATGAAGTTGCTGATCCAAACACCCAATGATTTATAAATGGAAATATTGGAAATTGTCAGGGATGCCCAAACCTTTTCATACCACTGTATTTATTATCGGTCACATTTACATAACTAGGTATCAAGCAAAAATGAGGCACAGCAAGGCTAACCACAGGCTTAGTGTAACGCTAGCTACATGGCAACGAACAGTTCCTCACCTCATGCCACTGCGCCACTTTCCCGCTGTGCCTAGGAGTTCCATTCACCAAAAAAAAAAAAAAAAAAAAAAATTTTGTGCATAACTTTTCCCAAACCCTTAAAAATGGGTAAATGTAGAAAACATGGCCCCGCTGTTTCCGTGTTTGCATTGTTTCTCCCGTGATTATAGAAGGAGGAAAGAAGGAAAGTGACCTACTTGTCATTGTGACACAGCACAGCATTGCACACAATGAAATGTGACCTCTGTTTTTAATCCATCACCAAACTGAACATTAGGCAGCTCTAAGCGTCCAGGGAGCTGATGGACTCGAACTTGAAACCTTACAGACCCAGGTCCGCTTCCTTAACCACCAAGCCACGACTGCCCTGCCCACTACCAACAGAAAAGAAGGGAAACCATAAATATAGACCGTCTTTGACTCTACAATCTTAAACTGTTGTAAAATAGGATGTGTACCAGGCCACGGACTGAAGTACTCTGAAAAAAAGAAGAACAGTAATACAGTGACGTTTTCGACAACTAAACCGACCACACGTGTTATAATTAATTACAACCGACTCTGCGACATCACAATGACGTCACTCCAGTAAACATCTTCAGGAAGTCACATTCACAAACAGTAGAAATTAAATTAATTTTTTGCAGCTACACCGTACATAGTCAACGTGCAGAAAAAAAAGTGCAAACCAACAATACTACTACTAACTCTACGTAAACTTTAACATTATTTCAACTTAATAAATAGCAATAGATTACTAATATATATATTATTTATGGCCCAGAGGCAATGTTTCTGTTATTGGTGTGGAACCCCAGGGTTCACCTCCTGGGCAAGTTCGAATACCGGTTAGGGCGGTTGGTACCTTCCAGTGGACTCACCCCCTGCAGGAAGGTTTAGGGGGGTTGGTCCGGTGCAATGTGATTTGGGTGGCGACTGCTGCCCCCATGACCCGGTAACGGATAAGCGGATGAAAATGGATGGATGGATGGATGGATTAATTAAAGCTGGCAGATGAATTTGGTGAGGACTAAAGTGGTATTATTGTTGTTACAATGAAGAAAATAAATTGTTTCCCAAAGACTGGGTTGCAACCCCCAGGTGGGTCGCAATATTTTTTTTTGGGTCGTCTCGCATCATGTTTCCCAGGAGTTTATGAATAATGTCTATTGACTTGGGTCACGAATGTTTGTGACTTTTAAGATATGGGTCCCCAGATAAAAAGTTTGGGAAACATTGCTGTAAACCATATAGACCTGTTACTGAGGAAGCAGTTCTGGATGACTTTGATGATGAAGGACGCCACATCTTTCTCGCTCAAACCGGGATTAAACCGCTGCCTGGATGGAGGAGGATGAAGGAGAGATAATAAATGTGTCCATTCACAGCAGCTCAAACTGACTGGTCCAACATGCCTGAACTCACTTCAGTAATTTAATGGTTTGTCCTCTGAAACAGGGAAGACCGGTGTCCAACATGAGGTTTACCAAGGAGACCACTCCGTCCATGTAGGGCCTGATTGACCAGAAGAACATTTATTACCGTCGAGCATCGTGGTGGTGCAGTGACATTGTGTCAGTCTTTGATCTGCAGCAGGAAGAGCAGCAGACTGTAGGCAGTACCACGCCTAAAAGAACAAGAGTTGGGAGAAAATTGTTAAAAAAAAAAAAAAAAAAGATTTAAAAAAAAATGACCAGTGGTGTGTTCAGATTGGTTATTTACCTTCTGGAAGGCCAGGGTTGACTCGTCTCCATTTGGCCCAGCTGATCTCTGGACTTACAGTCTGGGATGCACTCGATGACGCCACACTGTGGTGGAGCAGCAAAAAGAGTGAAGGAATATTCAATTACTGGAGCTGCCAAAGTTGTTGCCATATTAACAGGTTATAGCATACTAATGTGCCACGGCACAGATATTGGGAATCACTGTTTTGGAGAAAATTCTGGACCATTTTTGTTCGTGATTTTGATCAATCAAATTATTTTATAAATTCAGCCTTAATAATTCGATTTAAGGTTTCAGGAAGTAATGTTTATTATTGCCAAAATTAATCCATTGTAATTATTCCCTTAGTTTGAATTTACACCAGGAGCTGTGGCCATGAGTCTGTAAGGAAACACGTAGAGGTCTAATCCCACCAGTTGGAAGATAATCTTAAACAGGCTGATGATCTGAAGAGCCAGCATGTCCTGGAAACACCAAAAGAAATGACAGTTAAAACAAGTATGTCAAAGATATGATAAAGAAAAAAAAAATGAAGCATTTAGACTTGAATAAAGTGAGACACCTGTCTGCAGTCATCGCCCACTTTAAAGATGGCGGCCTGCCAGCAGACCCTCTTGGCCTCTTCTTCGTTCTTTTCTTCCACAGAATCTGAACGACACTGCAGACCTGGGGAAAATATCTTCTCATTTTAGCATTTGTGAATATTTAGAATCTACGTTTGATTTTTTTTTTCTCCACTGGCTTTACCTTCTATTTTCAGCTCACTGATTCCACACCGCTTTACTTTGAATTTGGCCATATACGGAGGTTTGGCAGCACTAAACAGTGACGGAGAGAGATGTGGTGTGAATATCTGGTGAATATGTGAAACAACGAGAGCGGGCAGTGGTTATTTTTTGGGACCCATCTCTGCATGGGGGTCCCGGACTTGTATAACAGCCAGGCTGGACCTTGATCTGTGACATGGCCTCCAGGCAGCCTCTCTTCCCTTTGGGAAAAAGCCTGAGGAAGACAAACAACAACAACATGAGCACAAAGTTTCCACGCCTGCTCTGACTGACTGGACTGGGAACATGCGTAGGTATCTGACAGGAGGACTCCAAACTGCATGTGACAGTTGGGCTCTGCTGTTATTCACAGAGGTAACTCACTTGGGTACAAAGTAATGCTAGTAGCAGCAGTGAAGGGACAGTAGACCACTTGCCCCCTGACGTGTTACAATTAGTGGTTTAATAAGGGCGGAGGAGAGTTCTTTCTGCCACCAGTGCGATGACAAAAACATGCTCTCCGTGAGATGGCAATAATGGACCCTGTCGCCAAAACGCTCATCAATGGTGGAGTCTACACACATTCAGAAAGGTACGGGGGTAGCAGAAGCTCAGCACACAATGTATTCCAGTCCAGTGCATAATCACAGAGACAGTAGAGCAAAACGCTGGCCAAATAAATGAACAGCACGGGGATTGTGGGAGAAGATCAAAGCTGTGCGAGACAGGTAGAGGACAAAACAGGTCAACTTAGGGGTAAACCTGTTATCAGTGCATTAACCTAATGAAGATAAAACAGAGGTGTGCTGTGTAGTTCATTAGGGATGAACATCCATAAACAAAGATGTTGCACTTTGCTGCAGAAGTCTCTCCAAACGGATCTGTCTATCTATCTGTCTATCTATCTGTCTATCTGTCTGTCTGTCTATCTCTCTGTCTGTCTGTCTGTCCGTCTGTCTACCTACCTACCTACCTACCTACCTACCGACCTACCTACATACCTACTACTGATGGTGAAATGAAGCCCCATGAGGC